TGATATATATACACAAAAAAAATAAAATTTTAAAAAATGAATTATATTTGAGGAGGAAGCATAAAAATTCATGTCATGTTAATTAGTAGAGGTGATGAACATTACCACTGAAATCTAGCCAATGACTTTATAGACATACACAGGTGCCAAGGATCCGAGTGCAACTGATTATGACTAGTAATAATCAGACACATACAGATGAGACGCATGTGCCAACATCTCAGTGTTATCAGACTGTGTATTTTAATAAGGAAATCGAGATCGTTTTTAAAGGTTAAAACCTCATTTAATTTTATGTCTTAATAGGGTTTATATGGAGTACAATATTGCATAATTGTATTAATTCAACTGTGAACCTAAAAATTTTATAGCCACTTTTGAAAGAGATGTATCTTTCCTCTGGAAATTGTTATTGAGTACGTTAAAGCTGTAATGAAATGCTTCTTCTAAAAAAATTTTTTAAATATATTGAAAAAAAAAAGTTCAAAGTCGGGTGTGTGTGTGTGTGTGTGTGTGTGTGTGTGTGTGTGTGTGTGTGTGTGTATCATGGGAGGAGTTGGAGAGGGACTAGAAAGGGAGGAAACAGTGCAAAGGCAATACTCACCTATTAAATTCTCAATAAAAATGTAAAAAAAAGAGATGGCAATAAATAATAATAATAATAAAAAGGTTCACAGTCTACCTCTGCTGGGTATTGACTGCTTAACCTTTATGTGTGTGTGTGGGGGGGGGGGGGCATGTGTATGGGGGTGTGTATGTGCTCATTCATACATACATGCATAGTGGACAGAGGTCTATGTTGAGTATCTTTCTCAACTGCTCTCTACCTTATTTTTTGAGACAGGGTGGCTCACTGGATCGGTAACTTACCAATTAGGCTAAGCCCAGGGATCCACTGGTTTCCACTCCCCACCCCAGACTGGGATTGTAGGTGGACTTCATCACATTCACTGTTACCTGGGTCCTCATGCTTCTCAGCAAGCACTTTACCCACTGAGCAACCTCCCTAGTCCCACTAGCAGCTTTTGACTTCCTTACATGTAAAATGTTGATGCTAAGACCACCCATGTTATAGGGCTATAGGAGATCACATAGCACAGAGCAGGTAGTCATGTGCTGTCTCATGAAAGTTTGGTCAAGATGGGCTGCACACATGACAATGGTACCCTAAGTTACAAAAGAGTTAAAAGACTTCTATCACCTTCTGACCTTGTGCTGGGGCAGTATAGTGGTTTCTTGTGCATTTCTGGGAATGCAGTCTCTCAATAAAGCTACTGAACCACCAGTAACATGGAAGTACAGCTCACAGCAAAGTCCAGCAAATAATACTTGATAATAAAATACTGTTACTGGTTTATCCATTACTGTCAATTTTAGAGCACATTTTCCCCCCCTGAAAACAGACTTACTGCAAGCAGTATATCCTGTACGGATAGACAGCCAGCCTCACACATCTTGCAGTGACCATCTTGTGACTGTACCAAGAAGCCTCACTGAGTGGTCAACACACATCATCCTTGTGAGTATGTGAGGTGCTATTCACGCCCTGAGCACATCCTCATGGTTGTGTGACAAGACTATGCTTTAAAGAATGGCACATGGGGTCTAGTCCTTGCCCCTGGTATGGACTGAGCAGCAAGGAGGTGACTCTTCACACTCCAGGCAGCACATGACTGGAAAAGATGGCAGAAGAAAAGCCAGATGGCCACAGGAGCTGAGGCTCTGTCTTTACCTTTTTTAGTCTTACACGGTCCACACTCAGGGTGAATTTCCTGCAAGGGAAGGGACACCACTTTGGCCAGCCCGGCGTTCAGCATGTACTGGTACAGACGCTTGAATGTTCTTTCGCATAGCCCCTGCAAAACATAAACCAACAGTTACTACTGAATGAGGTACTGGGAAGGCCAGCAGCAGGCAAACACCAGCATTTGGGCTATGAATTAACAACAGATAGGAAATGAAATGTTGCAGGTACCATGAAGAGAGACTGCTAAGCTGCATTGCCAAGGGAACAGAACAACTCAGAAATGATCTTGTCTCCGGATTACAAGAAGGGAAAGAATCTGTCTAGAGACCTTTGAAGGATAGATGGTGGGATGAGGCAGGTGGGAACAGAGCTAAGAAACGATCCACCAGACACTTTTCCATAATGTTCAATTCTAAAAAATTTTTAATTTATTATTTTAACTTTTATGTATAGGAGTGTATTGCTTGCATGTATGTAAGTGCATCCATGTTGTGCAATGCACATGGGGGTCAAAAGAGGGTATAGGATCCCCTGGAACTGGAGTTAAGGAAAGTTGTTAGCTTCCATGTGGGTGCTCGGAACTGAACTTGAGTCCTCTGTAAAAGCAACCAGTGCTCTTAACCCGAGTCATCTCTCCAGCCTTGTTTAATTTTTTTTCAACCAAGTGAGTACATTATTAATAAACACAAACAGGAATACATACCCCTCCCAAAGGCAATGCAACAAACAAGATTTTTAAAAAGTTAATTAAGGGGCTGGTAAGATCATTCGGTGGGTAAAGTTACTTGCCTCTACGCCTGAGGACCTGAGTTGCATCCCTGAGACCCACAAAATGGAAGGAGAGAATTAACTCCCACAAACTATTCTCTGACCTTTACCTATGTGCGCATTCACAAAATAAAAAATAAAAAATACAAAGTACATTCTGGCTTTTCTTGTAAACCTAAGATGTGACAACACTGCTAGGACGACAGCCCCTGAAGGTACCAGCCAAGGGGAGGGGACCAAACGCCCCTGCAGCAGGCTGAGCATGTAGTCCCTACAGTGCTGAGGTTCCAGATTCCTTGGCAGACTCTTGCACAGCACAACTGAAGGTCAGCTGCTGTCTGTCTCATGTGTACAGCTTTTCTCTAATGTCCACTAACAGCAAAATGAAGTTCTTAAATCTACACTATATCAAGACTTCCTGTACCTGGCCCACCTACTCCCAGCCCCTGCTGCCCCCTGGCTATGTAACCCCTGGGCAAGCAAGGTAAGTTGCTACCACTCCAAGATACAGACTGGTCAAGAGAAGGTGCTTGTAATTCAGTGCCATTTAGTCTCAGGGCTGCTTTGTGCTCTGGGGCAGAGACTGAGCAAATGCTCATGGGTCGTGGCACACATCTGCAACTCACTCAGCAGAGCCCGCACTCTAGCCACTGGGCAGCAGAACATATGGTTATCCAAAAAATACAGCTGAATCCCATCTGGCTCCTGCTAACATGCTGGCTTGTAAATGGTGACTGCCATTAATCTAGCCCAGCCCCTGGCAGCTGGAAAAACCCTTTAGAAACTCATCCATCAAGCCCTAGCCCTAGCATATGGTGCTGAGGAGGGAGGACGATGTGTCTCTGCCTTTGGGGGACTTGCACATTCTGTTCTGCTAAGAATAGCACCTACCTCATCTACAGGTTAATTAGTTGGCTCTCCTTGGACCCTACAGTCAGCTGTGGAGTAGTAGACATCTCCAGGGAACACTCAGAAAGCCTTCATGCTCCATAAATCTCAAGATCAGATTTGTTGCGTGCCCTTCCTCACCCAAACCTCTTTCCTCTTTTGCACTTAACTCACTAAACACTGGGCACTGCCCCACCCTTAGTACGGGCTAGAGTGCAGGCCTGCTATCACACTCCTTACCTAAGCCAGTATTGGGCCACTCAAACCAAAAGCCTGATTTGCATCTTCAGACCTTTAGTCACACCTCTCTACATCCTGGCTGGGTCACGGAAGCCTGTGAATGTCACCTCCTAAAAAAATGCTCAAATTCAAGTTCTAGTGGCCTCCTGCTGGCCAAGGCCCCAGTTTGTGTACATCTTCCTTTGAACACCTCACGTTCCCACTGCTCCCTTCTTCTTGGGTTTTCTGTGTGGCCACTACACAGGCACTTTCTGGGGCTCTACCTTCCAGGCTCCAATCCAAGCTCCTGAGCCAGGCCTTTAAGACCTTCCTGATCTCCGGGCCTGCCACCCGCTTCCCTTCCAGTCACACCTCTGGTACTTGCCACCATTACATCTGCTCACTGCTGGCTTCTGAAAGCATATCCCAACCTCCAACTGCATCTCTGCTGGAGCTATTCTCTCCTGCCCCAGTCTGCTGGGAACGGCCTGCCCCACTGTAAGTTGCTCTTGAAGCTGAGCTGTCCAGACGCATCTCTCTTCCCATAGTGCGTGCCCCCACTAGCCCTCTGTGACAGTGCCACTTGCCATCTTCATCCACACCTGTCACCTTAGTGTGCAACACGGCTCAGACTCAAAGCACTCATTGAACTGTGTGCCAATGAAAGGATGTTCCGGAGCAGTTAAGTCCACAGTGCTGACCTTAGCCAGACTCCCTATCTCTGAGGGAAGGTTACAACACAGCACCTCAATCCCCAGAGTACATAGTAGGACAAGGAATATAAAAGAGCAGAAGAGCAGACATTGGCAGGGCAGAAATCTTCCACATTTCTACTGGGGTCTCCTGAGAGGTTTTCTCAACCTACCTTTGATTTCCATTTTTGATAGGGGAAACTGAGAGACAGTGCTGCCCCAAACCTCGGGGCACCTGGGATGGCAAAAGCACCGATTCTGCCTGGGTGTCTAAGAGGTGACAGGAGGACTAAGTGGGGCTGGTCAACGCACAAGTCTCGAGCTGACTGCATACCTGTGTGGCCAGGCTTCCCCAAGCCTGACTTTTCAAGGGAAGTTAGAAACTATTCTGTATGAAGTCTCAATGTAACAAAGAAGCTGGTCTAGTTTGTCTTTGAAGAGGCCTGCATGCAATGAATCTAGTGATGGGGAAGACACTCCCTCTGAGAAACTGGTGAAATCAAAGACCAGCACTCTACCAGTAGCACAGGGTGACTCACAAGGACTGTCCTGATGTCTGTGATCAGAGAGAGCAGGGACTTGTCCCTTTGGGGACTAATTACTAGTACTAGAAAAACCTAGCTTCAAATGTGCAGTTTCAAGTTCTGTGGTTTAACCTATAGGGCATCTTTTCTCCATGTCTAATACTGGCTCTTAGCCAACATCCACTGAGAACTGTCCCTGTCAGCCTGGCAGCCACACTACCCCATGATTCTCTCTCGCACTCCAGCACAGCCACTACCCCTCAGCCTGAGATGGAGCAGGTCAATAATTGCTTTCTCTCAGTTATTTCAGCATAAAACCACAGGAGTAAAATTACAAGTTTCATTATGGAAGGAAATCTAAATGTCACGATTTACCATCCCACATGAACTATGATAGCTTGTCCTAGAGCAAGCCCCAGGGGAAGATGGAAGTCAGTCAAGGACAAGAATTTAAATGAAACTGTTGTCACTGTCAAGGAAGGGAAAGGCCAGAGCTGAGGATAAAGTTCAGTGATAAAGTGCTTGCCTAGCATGCATGAGGTCCTAAGTTTGATTCCCAGCAAAAGGCCATTTGCTTCCAGGCATTGGGTAGGGTTGCAAGTCCTTAATGCACCCCAACAAAGCCCCTTAGCAGCCCAGCCTGGCCCTGGCTCTAGGACTCACCAGTTCCTCCCTCAGTTTGCCCAGTGTCTCAATCTGGTTGGCCCGTGTACTCAGCATCATGGACAGCTTCTCCATGAGGATGTCATACTTGCTCCTCCTGCAAGAGACACCAGTAGGTCACTTGTTCAAGCCTAGTCCACCTGATTTTTAGAGATGACAATGCATGACTTAAATGACAACACAGTGAATGAAGAACCTTAGTCCCCAGTCTCAACAATCACCCAGCTCACTCCCATATTTTACAGTGAAGAGCAGCAGCTGGGAGCTGTTCAAGCACACACCCAAGGTTACCTAGTTGGTGACAGTATACAAACCTCATTCCAGGGCTGAATGTCAACGGAACGATTCTCTAAAACTTCTTGCATTGAGCAATACTCTAAAGATTAGGAAGCCTCTTGTGTTGTTCCTTATAAATTACTTGAAGAGTGGGGATTATTTTATTAAGAAATTTACAGGCTTTTCCAAAAATCTGGCCCAAGACCAGAAGCTAGGCCTTCTCCCTACCCATCTCATACTCCCTTCACCCCACTGAGACTCCTCAGGTTTCTACCTGACTTCCCTACCATGACTGATCTGGTGACCTCATTTGTACTATAAAGTTGGTGTGTCGTGGTAAATGCTTCTAAGCTAACCTCTACCAAAGGAAGCTGAGTGCTTGTGCAGCATGTGTATTAAAAATGGGGGGGGGGGGGGGGGGGGGGGGGGAGTCCTGCTGCCAGTTCAATCCCCTACTCAAGTGTCCTTGCAGCCAAGGGACAGTTCTTCCCTTTTATTATTTTTATGTGTATGTGTATTTTGCCTGCATGTATATGTAAGCGCACTCCTGTCATGCAATACCCACAGAGGCCAGAAAAGAGCATTAGTTCCACTGTAACTGGAGTTATGGATGGTTGTTAGCCACCATGTGGGTGCTAGGAATTGAACTGGGTCCTCTGCAAGAGTAGTCAGTGGTCTTAACTACTGAGCCATCTCTCCAGTCCCAGTTCTTCCCTTTGAAAGGGAAGAGAAGGCAGCACATGCATAAGGGCCAGAATTTGCACCCACTTCTCCATTTCCACTGCTCCTCAGCAAGGGACAAAACAGAGGGGAGACGGGTATTGTATTTGACTCTGAGGTGTATGAAGCTCTGTCACAGTCACTTCACACAGAAGGAAACAGTGGAGTTAACTCTGCCCCAGTTAAGGGGTGAAGGCTGACAGATGCTGACTTACCCAGTGCACTCTCTCCTACCCTCGTCTGCCACCATAGGTTCTTGGTAAATAGAGGCCACAGCCTGAATAGGGGATTGCTTTTTTGTTTTCTATTTTTTTGAGACAGGGTCTTCCTGTAGCCCCAGCTGGTCTGAAAATTACTATACAGACCAGGCTGGCCTCAATCTCAAGAGATCCATCCGTCTCTGCTGCCTGAGTGCTAGGATCAAAGGCGTGCGCCACTCTATTCAGCTGCTTTGGTTTTTCTGAGACAATCTTACTCTACATTCCAGGCTGGCCTCAAATTCAGAGCCCTTTTGCCTCAGCCTCCCAAGTGTTGGGATTACAAGGCATGTGCACCATTCTAGTCATAAGTTTGATGATTGGTTATTTAATTAATGGGTAGTGTGATTAGCTAAAATGTGCAATCACAAAGCATGGTTCTTTTCAATACAGTACTTCCAAAACACAGGCTGAAAGAAGGCAGAGTGGCAGAATGCTAGAGGATGGATTAAGGCTTCTGACACCTTGTTAACATATAGGTCTGAAGAGCAATCAGAACTACAAGACATCTGTCTAAGTATAGACATGATTTTCATTCCTGGAAATGTAATCAACAGTGTACACATGAGCATCAAGCACTTTGTGGCAAGCCATGTGCACTGGACTGGATGCTAGAAACTTACAGCTACCCTTATTCTAGAGTGTTCTCTTTCTTCTCTTCTCGAGGGTACAGCTGGCTTAGGGATAAAGGGTAGGGACTCTGACAACTAGCCAAGGGATAATCAGCTATGGTCCAGGGAACTGTCTGCTTTCCTGCCTCCCAACTGCCCCTTGACACTGACCATTTCCACCATGCATGTAACCTGGAGCTTATGCAACCTAGGCTGCTTTTCTAGGTCCGACCCTGCCTGACCTTTCCCCACCCTGGCTTCTGCTCCTCCTACAAAGGAGGACATGGGAGAGTAGGCTGGTGGGACCATTCTCTCCCCATCCCCTGCCAGGTTACTACTCACTCCAATTGCAAGGACTAGAGAGTCAGGGGACCTGCTCACTCCCAGAGATTCTGGCGTCCTCAGAAGGGAATGTGCTTGCTTTAGCAGAGTGTTGTACTGGCTGGACTATGATACCCAGCTAGAATAGTGCCTTCTCACATTGCAATCATTTGCTAGAACCCCACAGAGTCACCCAGTACAGGATGACAAGGCTGCAAAGTCTCAACCTCTCCCAATCTGAGACTGACACAATTCAACAACTTTGCCTCTGTATTCAATCAAATTTGGTTTACTTCTATTTTTATTTCCCCTACCCTCAAATTCCAAAAAAATGTTAATAGTTCCTGTTGTTGGGCTGTGGGGTTGGTTCCCCCCCTTTTCTGTATAATTTCCAGGTTTTCTTTTTTAAAAAAATATTTTATTTTTATTTTATGTGTATGTATGTATTGCCTGCATGTAGGTAAGTGCATCCATGTCATGCAATGCCCATGGAGGACAGAGGAGGCTGTCGGATCCCCTGGAACTGGAGTTACAGACAGTTGTTAGCTGCCATGTGGGTGCTGGAATTCGAACCCGGGTCTTCTGCAAGAACAACCAGTATTCTTAACTGCTGAGCCATCTCTCCAGCCCCAATTTCCAGGTTTTCTAAATGGGCAGAATATATTTTCTTCAAAAACAAAAAACTTTCCAAAAAATTTTGTGCTCTGACTTGGACCTCAAGTACCTTAAAGATACATGCTGCAGCATGAAAGTATCTGACCTTCCCTTCCCTACAAACCGCACCTGTCTACATGAAACCGGTTGAGGAGGAGGAGGATGGAGTGCTGCTGGGCTCCTGTGGGCAACCGGATCACATGTGACTGCATTGTAATGAGCCCGTTCTTGTTGAGAATTTTCCTGTGGTAATGAAGCTTTCCGGCATCCACCCTGTAGGAGAGAAGAATACATCACGTCATTTTGTTTTACTGGTAGCTCTACCCTCACAAAGTAGTTTCTCACTTGGATGTAAATACCAGATACGTGCACACCACCAAGCCCACTAATCTAAAAGAAACGTCACATGAGACAGTGGCTTGGAACAAAACATCCCGCCTCTGGCAAGACTGGCAGCAGGCCCCTGCATTTGGGGTGCAGAGCACAATGCCTTGTAATATAAAGAAAAGCAGGTCCTGCCCTTACTTGAAAGCGGTGGTGTGAAGGTCTCGCTGCAGCTCTCCCTGCCACCTGGACCGGCCTAACCGCTCCAAAATGCAGTAGGAGAAATCAGGGAGCTTCAGGTCAGGGTCCCCCTCCAGGCCTATCAAGGCCCTATAGCGCATGTCCTGGGAAGCCACGATGATCAGCTTTTTGCCCCACCTGCAAGTCATAAACAACCACATACAGAAATCAATACAAGTGACTGTAAGGAAACTGAAACACGAGAAAGCAGAGCCCTTGGGTCTTGTTCCTGCTTCTCCCAAGATCTTCAAGTACCCAGCAATCAGCTTCACAAGCTCAGTCAGAACTGCAGCTCACTGGACAGACAGGGCCAAGTCTTGCTTCCTGGCTCAGCACACTCCAGGGCTTGCTAAGGCGTACCCACTCTTTACTGTGGCATCCTTACCTTACTCCCCTTATCTTCCAAGACTGCCCACAAGGGCCTTCTTCCTGACAGGTCACAAGGCTGCCGCCTGGCTGTTCCCTCTGCCTAGCTATGGGTCTCCTGGACCTCAAGATAACTGATTTTTCTCATCATTCAGATCACAGCTCAGCTGTCAATTCCTCAGGCCTTCCAGAAGATGCTAACCAGAACTCAAGCACTACCCCAACCATGCCCAGCTCCATCCTAGCACTCAGGACTCTCAGAATCAGTCTTTCTGACATTGTTTGTCCCCCTCATTCAGACACAAGTGCTGTCAGTGCAGGTAGGTTGTGATGTGTTCACCTGGGAAGGATAATACACTAAGACAGTTCTCAGAACAATGTACATACAGTAGGGCTCCTGAGGATCTGTGTATGAAGGAACTCGTGAACTGCGCTAAGAAACTTCAGGGTTGAGAATACCACACAGCCAGGAAAAGAGAAATCTGATTTGACTTGGCTACTGAAGACCATACCTTGACTTGTTAGATCCTCTGACTGACTTGAGTTATATACAATAATGCCCTAAAGAGACCCAAATACTTCCTAAAAAGGGTCTTCAAGACACCCCAAGTAAGAACAGTACTTTCAGGGCTGGAGAGATGGCTCAGCAAAGAGTGCTTGGTGCTCTTAAACAAGTCTTGAGTTCAGATCCCAGCTAGTAACTATCTATAACTTCGGCTCCAGGAGATTCAACATACTCTTCTGGTCTCCATGGTCACCCCCTCCCTGAGACACAGAGATATACACATATAAATAAAAATTTTTTAAAGTAAATTTTGAAAAGAGTACTTTTGTGCTGAGGTGTCCTAGTCCTTACTGTATGTGATGGTTAATTTCAATTGTCAATTTAATAAGATTAATAAACAATCAGCACATTCATAGAGCACACCTTTCAGTATGCCTGTGAAGTCTTTTCCAGAAAGGATTAGCTGGGAGGGAAAGACTCCCGCGAATGTAGGCTGGACCATCCCACAGGCTAGTGACAGAAAGTCAGCTGAGCAACAGCATCCACCTGTTTCCAGGTTTGTCCATATGGGGGCAAACAGCTTCACGTTCCTGCTGTCATGCCTTCTGGACCCTGATGGAATGTACCCTCTGAAGCTGTGAGCCAAAATGTATCCTTCCTAAGTTGCTTTTTGCCAGGTACACTGTCGCAGCAGTGAGAAAAGAAACACACTGTATCCCCACACTGTGGCTGAAGTTCACTGCTGCCTTCCTGCCATGTCAAACTGTAGGCTGAGCTGCTCCATTCACTCTCTGGCTCTGTCCTCACTGTTAGCTCCAAGTGACTCAGCTGGAGGACTGCCCTCTCCTGCACAAAGGGGATATGGAAGGTCTATACAGAAAAGTCATAGCTGCCTATCCCTCTCCTCTGGAGCCAGTTAGGCTCTTCTCAGTTCTGCTGTTTACAAATACCTGGTTGTGAGGTCTCTCCACAGTCAAAGAGTGCTCAGTTGAGTCACATGGTTTTCCATGCACCCTCCACGTGCCAGATGATTTTCCTTCTCCAAGTAAACAAGAGGTTGTCTTTGTACTGTATGTGACCTATAAGGCATTTTCTGTACAAATCACTTAAGTCTCTACAGTCTGTCCTTAAACAGAATGTTGGGAACCAGGCATGGAGGTGCACACCTTTAATCCTAGCACTTGGGAGGCAGAGATAGGTAGATCTCTATGAGAACAAGGCCAGTTTGGTCTACAGAGCAAGCTCTAGGCCAGATGGGGCTTCAGGGAGATCCTGTCTCCAAAAAAAAAAAACAAAGTTGGGTTTTGATGACACAGGAGAGTCTACTTCACGCTTCCAAATGTCACAGACTTAGACCAAAGCTCTCTTTCCTCAAAATAGGCTCATTAAGAGAAATTCTAAGAGGCCAGCTGGGGGAAAAGTTTGAAAACAGAGGAACTGGCCTGGTGCTTAAGAAATTCCATTACTCATGTCAGTTTACTATCCTGCACTATCAACTCCACTGCTTCTCCTAAAGACTGCACGGCAGCTGTAATGACTCCTGCTACCAGTCATTTGCAGACTATAACAATCATTCAGGTGATCAGATGCTAGGCATTGCGTAAAGTGCCAGGACACTGAGATAATAAAAACAGAATCTACTTTCAAAGAGCTTACAGTGCCCTCAAGGAGAAAAGGAAGAAAATGAACAGTCACACCAAGCTTTAACTCCAGACACAGCAGATCTGGGCACGGAGCTTCCGAAAAGGTGCACACATGAGGAGCTTGCAATCATTGTTGTGGCAGTGAGTGTGCATCATAACCACAAAAACCTCTGGAGCCAGCAGGGAGTTGGACCCGGGTGGGGGGCGGGGATAAGTAAGCAGGTCCTGCCCAGTGATGGGGCCTGCAGGTCAGGGTAGGTCTGCTCTGGGAGCTCAGGGAGGTATGGTGGAGAGTGGTGCATACCAACAACTAGACAGTTAAACAGATGAAATCTTACAAGGTCAACATCATGGTTGGGAAGTTCCAATTCCACGACACCACTTCAAACCTCAAAGGCAGCATGGAACCGACTGCACACTAACTCTGTACCAGGCACAGTTGAGACCCAAGAGGAAAAGCAGTGGGCATGATGGTCTCCTAGTGAGGAGAGAGTGCTGTAAACTAACACTCCAAACTAGGGAGACAATTCAATGGGTTTGGCCAGCTCTAACTGTGGTCTTCACACAGGTAGCCAAAGTTTCAGGACCAAATGGCCCTAAGTGCTCATCGAGTCACTTTTTCACCAGACCACAACAGAGTAATCTGATGGTGCCTGGGCAGTCAGGACACTTTGCAGAGTCTAGTGAGGCTGGGATTAGGAGGTGCTAGTGTGAAGGTCTGAGGGCAGAACATTCTAAGTGGAAGGAACAGCATGTACCTTTCCCTTCAGAAACAAAGGAGCCTGGTGGGTTCCATCTGAAGCACAGGGAAAATGGGAAGCTGAGGGTGGTGAAGTGAGCTGGGCATGCAGGGATGAGGTCATCAGGAGCCTGGGGGCCAGTCAGGACAGGTGGCAAAATAAACATGACCTTAGGTGTGGTGAATGTGTGGTTGGTACCTGGTTCATCTGAAGGGGATTGTGGCCTATAATGCCTTATAAAAATCAGTTTTCTCTGTGAGTTCGAGGCTAGCCTGGTCTACAAAGAGAGTTCCAGGCTAGCTGCAGCTACAGGGAGACCCTGTCTCAAAAAGACCAAAAAAAAGTGGCTAAATTTTGTCATTTTTTTAAAGAGACACTGTAAACCCATGTTTCATTTATTTATTTTATTTTAATTTTTTTTATTTAATAAGTCTTTTTGAGACAGAGATTCCCCAGCTGGCCTGGATCTCACTGTGTAGACCATGCTCAAGATCTGCCTGCCTCTGCCTCCCAAGTACTGGGATTAAAAGCATGAGCCACCATGCTTGGCCTATTTATTTATTTTCATTTTATGTATGTTTGGCCTGTATGTAAGTGTACCCAAGTCATACAATACCCATGGAGGCCAGAAGAGGTCATCAAATCCTCTGGAGTTAAGGATAGGTTTTAGCTGCCATGTGGATACTGGGAACTAAACTCAGGTCCCCTGTAAGGGCAGCCAGTGCTCTTAACCACTGAGCCATCTCTCCAGCCCCAAATCTGTGTTTGAAACTTCCTCAATTCTGTTTGTCTCAGGTGGAAACTTCTGCAATGATTTTCAAAGAGGATTTTTTTTTTAAATATTTGTTTTCTTTATAATTTGCTTCATTTTGAGACTGTACTGATAGCCAATCAAGATATAAGTTTCCTTCGCACTGTAACCCAGTGCCTAAGGTATAAAAGGTATGTGCTACTTTCTTTCAGGGCTCAGAACTGAGACAGAAATCTCTCTGGGCCAAGGCTGCAGCCTAAATAAACCTGCTTCCTGCATCTCCTGGTGCTGTCTTATCTGTCCTGCAACAGCGAGGGAGAGTTGACTATCGGCCCATCACACTTCCATTTAGGAAAAAACCTCCAATAGTATAGAAGGTAAAAGAGCGACTGCACCAATGGGGAGAGCAGACTTCTGTGTTGATTAGAGACAGATTTAGAAGGAAAGTCAACAAGACATGCTGGAAAACTGAGTATAGACTCAGAAAAAAACAGGCCTAGGGACAGGCTCAAGTTGACAGCTTATATAGCCTGACAGATGGCAATGCCTCTGACCAGAATAAAGGGATGAGAAAGAAGAGAAAAAGAGAGAAGCAGGTTTGGGATGAAGGAAACTGATTATCGGAGTATGAGGGCTCATTATTGAAATACTATACCTGACAAAGAAGAGCGATTCGTGGCATAGGTAGTCCTGGAAGCAGCCAATACTGATGGGCTGGGAAGAGCAGGGGAGCCCCACCACAAGCTGGTGAGGATCAGTGAGGAAAACGGGACAGCAGGAAGCCTAGAAGCCCAGGGGCAAAAGATTCCGAGTCCACAATACTGCATGGGCTCAGGGGGTGAAGGACTTGCTGTCAGTATCTTAGAAGCCACAGGCAGGAATCAGGTCTGCAGGGGATAGAAGAGTGAGGGAAGGAGAAGACAAAGAAACAGAGAGCCCAGTGTCTCTTCAAGCAACATGCATGCTGCAGGACAGAGGACAGGGGTCAAGAGAGGGTCCAATGCCAGGTGGCTAAGCATATCAGTACACTGAGGATAAAGTCTCAGAGGATAGGCAAATGAAAACCCTAGAGAAAGAATTAAGAGACAGCAAGAAGTACAGAGAGCTGGACTCAAGGAAGGGGAAGGAGAACTTCCAGCCCGAGCAGGGCCTAGTGTCTCATGGCCTCCGAGGAAGAAAGGAGGGAGGGGCGGGAACAGAGCTCACACTGGCAGCTTCTCCTTCACCTTGGAAGTCAGGGAGTTGAAATGAAGTTGGGTACTTGAGAAAAATGCCAGTTTAGATGGGTCAACTCTAGAAGAATGGGACACTGACTGACAACTCACAAAAGGGAAAGCGGGGCACATAGGGAGGGCCCAAGTAGGACAGAGAAAAACCAGTCACAACTGTCCTAGGACTGTGGAGAGAAAGGACAGGAAAAGCCAGGATTTCTGAACTCAGAACTTGGTCAGTCCATGAGAGTGGTGTGAAGATCCAGAGGCTGGGAATTCCAGCAGACTTGAGCTAGCACACCAGAGCCAAGCACCTGGTTGTACCTGACTACAGAGCACCCAGAAGCCAGGGAACTGCTGAGCGTGCAAGTCAGTTACCTGCTGAAGGCTTCCACCATTGTGCACCGAGGCTGCAGACACTTGGTCCTGATGCTACTGGTAATGTCCTTCCTCTCTTTGAAGTATCGGCATGAGCCCTGGATGCCATCCTTATTCTCTAAGATCATGTGAATTGGGTAGACATCCTCCAAAGTGACCGGGTCCCTCCTGGACTCCAAAATTCCAGTTTCTAAGTCAATTTCCTCATACCTAGGGGGAAAAGCACATACATAAACCTCCAACTAGGCTTCAGAAATAACATACACCTGGTGCGTTCTGTCAATTCCTAGCAGAGACCAGAAAGAGGTGAGGTCAGACAACTCAGTCTTGTCCCACAAATGCAGACAGTCTTTGTTGCTTTGGTTTTGTTTTTAGACAATCTTACTTTGCAGCCCAGCCTGGCCTTGATTTTTTTAATCCATCTGCCTGAGCTTTCTGAGTGCTAAGATTACAAGGAGGCACCGTCATGCCTGGCCTGTAGTTAAGTTTTGACAAGCAGGTTTTTGCCTTTCTCTCATTTTGAGACAGGGTCTCATGTATCCCAGGCAAGTTTGAACTTGATATGTAGCCAAGGATGACCTTGAATTCTCAATCTTCTGGCTTCACCTCCCAAATGCTGGGATCACAGGTATGTACCACCACACTTGGTTTATACAGTGTTGAGAAACAACACAGGATTTTGTGTAAGCTAGGCAAATACTTTACCAACTGAGCTACACCCCCAGCCCAGATTCTTACCTTTCTATCCCAGAGAACAAAGCCTTTCTAGGATCTTCCCCAATCCATCCAAGAAGCTTACTAGCCAGAGCCTTTTGCTTTCCCTCCAGTGCCCAGTCTCTAGACCACAGACCAAGGCTTCCCTCCTCTAACATCTTTCTCTCTCTCTTTAGTCATCTCTCTAGTTCCTTTAGCCATTTGAACAATTCTCACCTTTGAATAACTGGGCTTTTGTTGTTGTTGTTTTGTGGTTTGGGGATGGAACCCAGGGCCCTGTCTAAGCTAGCAAGCTGTATCCCTAAACCTTGGTTCTGTTTCCCCTAACACCAGCTCCCTGTCTTTAGTTTCCCTGCCTCCCAACAAGCCCCTCCTTCCCAGCACATGCTCTGAGCAGCCTCTAACAGCAGGCATCTCTGCCTGAGCCTTGTTAAGCCTCATTTACTAAGGTGTCATCACCTTTGGGATTTGGTTTATCCTTCTCTAGTGTGGTTAAGGCTAAACCCCATCCACAATCCATTCCCTCAACTTTTGTTTTTCCTCATTCTTTCTGTGACCTCTGTACTATTTAACCCTCAATTCTCAGCTCTTCCAGGACACTCTGTAGTCTGTCCTCTTCCTCTTCATCCATATTTTAATTTTGTTGAAAGTCCTGCCTCCTCCATCCAACCTTGAAATATAGGTAGGTACAGCTCAGGAAGGTGTCTGAAGGCCTCCAATCACAACACACTCTCTCCTAGGGATGCTCTGGGCCTTAATTACCAAGTGCACGGGATGACTCACAAAGGTCTAGCCTAGTCCGTCCCTTTGGTTTTTTTACCCTGCCAGTAAGTCAAGGGTTTACACAACATAATGTATTCTCAGACGACTCAAAGGAGTCTCAAAGTATGGTGTGCATCTCCCCAGACTTGTTCATCCACTGTTCTTCTGTGTTCCCATGAAGGGGATCAATATTTATTCCTATGTCTCAGCAACAGGCACCAAGTACACACACCTCAGTTTCTGTCTTTCCTCACATTCCACATCAGTCTTCAAATTCTCTTGACTGTTTTCTTTAATGTAGCTTTTGTTTTTTCACATGGGTTCTCTTGTAGCTCAAACTAGTCTTGAACGTAAATCCACCTGCGTTAACTCTGCTAGGATTACAAGTATGTGCCACTATGCCTGGCTACCTGATATATCTTGATTCCCAACTCTTCATTCCAGCCCCCAGCATGATAAACCAGTCCTTCACTGGTTATGATTACAGATCATCCAGCTTCCCTTTGCCTCTAGTCCTGACTCTCCCTTTAGTGACTTCCTTTTTTAAAGGATAGACTCTTTTAAGTGAATTAAATGATCAGATTCCTAGTGGAATTTGGTTAAGGGCAGAGTGGATCCTGGATCCAGATTTCCTAAATTCAAGTTCTTGAATCTGTTCTTACTAGTTGATGACCTTGAGCAAGTCATTCCACCCCTCCCCACCTCAAAGTTCTTCAGAATACCAACCTCCTCAGGTTGTTGTAAAAATTAAAGTGACAGCTGGGTGTGGTGGCACATGCCTTTAATCCCAGCACTTGGGAGGCAGAGGCAGGCGGAGCTCTGTGAGTTCGAGGCCAGCCTGGTCTACAGAGCGAGTTCCAGGCAGCTATAGCTACAGAGAGACCCTGTCTCAAAAAGACCAAAAAAAAAAAAAATTAAAGTGACAACTCAGGTGTGCTAATGCACACCTTTAGTCTCAGTATTTGGGTGGCAGAGGCAGGAGGAGCTCTGTGAGAATGAGGCCAGGCTGGTCAACAGAGGGGATTCCAGGCCAGATGGGGCTATAAAGACACCTGTCTCAAAAAAAAAACAAAACAAGACAAAATTAAAGTCACAGGCCGGCAGGGTGGTGCATGCCTTTAATTCCTGCATTTGGGATGCAGAAGCATCCTGAGTTTGAAGTGGATCTCTAATTTTGAAGCCAGCCTGGTCTACATAGTAAATTCCAGGCCAGCCAGGCCTAGATAGTGAGACCCCCATCTCAAACAAAACATTAAAGTCCCAATATGTAAGTATCTTAGAACAGTCTCAGCTCACAATACACACGGATAAGTGGAAGCATGGAATGAGGACTAATAATTGCTAACCTCACACTTCAGACAAATTTAGCTTAGGCTCTCACACTTGGTGGTGTCTGTTCAGAGCACTCTGCCAACTGGCTGCCTAAATCCAACTAAGTCTTGCCTGGCTTGTTTTTTTACCTATATGAATCTCTCCTGAACTTCATAATATGGGTTAAGAATACCAACTTGCCGGGTGTGGTGGGGCATGCCTGCAATCCAAGCAGAGGCAGGTGGAGAGTTTGGAGCCAGCCCTTTCTTAAAGTAAAATTGAAAAAAAGAAGGAGCCGGCTTGAAGGTGTTCTAGTAGTAGAGCTCTTGCCTAGAACCAGCAAGAGGCTGGGATGGATTCTTGGACAGTGTCAGAGAGAGATAGCAAAAAGGAGAGAGACAGACTAACAGAAAGAGACAGGAAGAGAAAGAATAAAGAGCACCCAGTACCCTCTGAATCCTGTATGTTACTTAACCTCCGTCTGTGGCTATTTCTTCCTCTGTAAAAAGGGAAGACACTTGTTCTTACCTCCCTGGATCAAATGCGGATCAAGTAGTCACTTGCAGAGCAGGGTCTTAGAACAGAGCCAGCTCACGGGAAGCGCCGATCCACTTCAGCTATCGGTTTTCTTGCTAAACTCGGAGCCGTACAGGTCTCCAGTTGCCTTAGCTTTGTGTTCCGACACTACGGGAATGCTGCCTAAAGTCTGGAGTCACTTTCCTGCTCCTACCCTAAGCTCCCGGGGAGAGGAACTCTGCGACCATTTAGACAGCCACCCTCAACACAATGGACAGCCCCTCCCCCAGCCCATCACTTAGGCCCTGCAGGGGCGCGGGGAGCCCAGGTTAGCCCGACCTCGCGCCCATCCCCCACCGTCCCATTAGCCCCCGCCGGCGCTCGGCCCCACTGCTCCCTGCCCCCTCGCGGCTGGGCCCCGGGGCGGCTGACCTGTCCTGGAGTTGCAAGTCCGGTCGCTCCCGAGGCTCCTCGTAGAAGCTGATGCCCGGGTGCGTGACCAGGGCCCGCCACAGAAATTCCTGCGTGTAGGGCTCCAGCGGCAGAGGGAAGGGAGGCGAGCGGGACTCCAGACGGCTCCAGAGAGCGGGCAGACACAGACCGTCCAGCCCCTCCAGGGCCACCTCGTCCAACAACGACTCGAGGGCGTCCATGGCTGCTTCGGGTAGCAAGCGCCCAGGGCGCCTGCGCACCTCGCCGCCGACGGCCCTGGCCCAGTGCGCCTGCGCACCTCGCCGCAGCCAGCTCCGGCTTAGTGCGCCTGCGCACAGCGGTCGGAGGCCGGGGAAAGTGGGTAGAACGAGGAGTCGCTGAGCGTCGTCGTGACGTCATGCCCTTGGGGGCGGGGCCAGTGAGCTTTAGCTACACCGCTATTGGTCCGGAACCTCACAGTAACCAAGGGAACTGCAAACAGTGTGAGGGCCGCTTCCGGTCCGGGCACCCGGAACGGCCGCCTCTGGGGATGGACGGTTAGTGTCCGTGGGCCCCGCCGGGAGGTCGGGCGGCTGTCTCGTCTTTTCGAGGTCTCTCGGGCGAATGCCAGGCCACAGGCCCCCGGCCCAAGGCGGCCTCCAGTGTGTGGGAAAGCGGGCGGGAGGCTACGCAGGGGGCCCGAGGGAAGCCCGCGCTGACCCGGAGACCAGGGAAGGGGTGGGCGCTGGGGAGGCCTGAGGACCGGGGGCCTGGGATGCAGCTCTGGGGATCTGGGAGTTGGTTGGCGGTAAGCGTGCCCCTGGGAGTGCGTTCGGCAGGTACTGCCATGGGGAGATGATTGGGAATACTTTTATGTGCTTTGATTGTGACGGTAGCTCACGTTAACAAGGTACTTACGTTCAATGCCAGGGCCTCTGTAATCGCTCTTTAGAGCCAGATAGCTAGCAAGGGGCAGATTAAGAAACCTGGACCTTGTATCTGAAGCTGAATTATGAGAGTTTGACATTTGAAAAGGCTTTTAGAGACCTTGCATTCCGGAGCTTGCGAATGCTCAGGGGCAAACTTGATAGGCTGTAACTGAAAACGGGTTTCCAATCTGAAAAGAAGCTGCCGGCTCAGCTCCAGCCAATTGTCCTCATGGACCTCTTCCCAAAATATTATGACAGACAATCAGACTTAAAGTCGTTGGCGGCCTGTAGAGTCGCTGTGGGCGTCACAAGCCTCCTGGGAATAGCTTCTCTGCTGTCCAAATTTTCGTTCCGACAGGAAGACTGATGTCTTAGCAGGTTGGCAGGGTATGTGCTGTAATCCACATAGTTTTTCTAATTACTCCTGGGGAGTTTGCATTCATTTGATAGCCACTAAATGTAGTGTGGAAAAAAGTCTTTTATCAGTTCACCTCATGGAAGGGTCCGTGTAATGCTGTTACAGAACAATAGCCCTTAAACCTTTTAGGCCTTGAGCATCTTTAAGATCTTCCCTTAAAAGACCTTTATTTAATACATGTATTGTATCTGGGTTATTGCCCTATCAGAAGTAAATACAAAATTCCAAAACATCAGTTCACTTGGAAATAATAACCCTGTACTCCTGAACTTAAATATTTTAATGAAAATAGCTATCTTCCTCCACCACCATAAATATTAAGTAGTATTGCTTTACATTTCCTTCTTCCTTCCCTTTCTCCTTTCCTCTTTCTTCCTTCTTGTTTTTGTCTTGTGTTTTGTTGAGACAGGATCTCTTGTAGCCCAGGGCTGGTCTCCAACTTGCTATGTAGCAAAGGATCGCATTGAACTGAGTGCTGAGATTACAGGGGTGTGCCATCATAGCTTTTATCCTCTCTCCCTCCCTCTTTTGCAGGACCAGGAATTGAACTCAGAACCTCACTCGTGCTAGGCAGGTGCTCTACAACTGAGCTATATTCTTATCACCCCCACCCCCTTTGAGACAAGGTCTCACTAAGTTGCTCAGACTAGCTTATCTGTAGCTGAAACAGGCCTTAAACTTGCAGTCCTCCTAGGTGACTAAGATTACAGGGATAAGCCACTACACTGGCTAGGCATTTGGGGGTGCATGTCTGTTATCACTTAGGAGGCTAAGGCAGAACTTCAAGGCCAGCCTAACCTACAAAGTGAGACTTTGTCTCAAAGAACCAAAAAAGCCGGGCTTGGTGGCACATGCCTTTAATCCCAGAACTTGGGAGGCAGAGGCAGGCGGATCTCTGTGAGTTCGAGTCCAGTCTGGTCTACATAGCAAGTTCTAGGCCAGCTGGGGATACAGGGAGACCCTGACTTAAAAAGCCCCCCCCCCCAAAAAAAAAGGAAAAAAAGCTAGACTCCTATTTCTGCTTCAGAATCCACCGCTACTACACTACCACTACTTACACTATTTGGGCTAGTAAGTATAAACAACTGGCCTCACGTAATTGGATTCGGAAACAAATATTTTAATTTTCTTTCCAAGTAACTTGACACGTTGATGGTCCATCAAAACTTAGAAAGTGACAGTTTCTAAAAGGTTGAGCACAATGTTATTGGTATCTGAAACTATGTTAGTGACCTTTGGGCTCTTGCAACAAATTCTACTGGTCTGTCTAGCACTTTGACCTGTGGGCTGTTTTCCTCATACCTGATTTCATAGCTTCAGCTGTTGGTCTTTTGGAAGATATTAGTTCACTAACATGCAAATCCTCCAAATGTCGACTTTGGAGGACTTTGGAAATGACTTGGTATCAAAAAAAGGTCATGTTTTGAGTTGGGCATGGTGGTCCACACCTGTAATCCTAGCACTTAGGAGCCTGAGACAGGAGAATTGCAAGTTTGAGGCCAACCTGGGCTACAGAGTAAGTTCTGGCTCAAAAAACCAAGAACAAAAAAATCGCATTATTGCCATCACCTATCCTCTCAGTTTTTCAAAACAGAAATTGGAAAACTGTTCACGTGATGGATGCATGCATTCCACCTTTTTTTCACTTGAAAGCTTGAATTTTATCATTGGGAATAAATATTGTCAATTGTTTCCCTGAAGTATTTGAGAAAATATCTGCCAAATACCCAAGTCTGAAGAACCACAATTGTCTGTTGTTGTTCATTCATGTAAAAATTACGTTCCATACAGGATACTGTTAGATGGTGCCTGGTGTTTTCCTGGATGAACCATTGTTCTTGGTTCGTAGCAGAAGTTCTTGAAATGTACTTCCCATTTCTTCATAGGAATATTAAAATGATACATACTTGTGGGCTGAGGCTTTTAAAAATTAATATTTACTGCTTTATCAGGATGTTCTTAAATGAAAGTGATTCTGCAGTCATCTGCTTGTGTCCTGTGATACAGGAGTAAGAATACACCAACTGCTTGTATCATTTGGCACCTGACCTCCATGCAGGCTAAAAGCAGTTTTGCCCACCTTTGCTTTGCCTCTTCAATTCAGAACTCAACAGTGGGAAAGTTGTAGAATTAAGATGAAAATCATTCTGAGTTTGTAGCCTCTCTTCTGCCCAGGATCTGTGGAACACCATTTGAGAAACAGTGCTTGTTATAGGCCGTTCTTGAGAAGCAACTTGACTACTTCTGCTTGCTTAGCTACCTCTGTACTCCTGGAACACTGTTGAAGTTGGTGGAGGAATCTGTTCATTTGCAGATTGGTTATAAGAGAAATAATTCATTCTAGAAAAGTATTTATCCTAAGCTCAGATTTAACCTTCTGGGAATTCTATTTTCCACTCTAACTTTTAATTTATTATTTGTGTGTATGAACATGGGTGTCACAAGCATGTGTGCCATAGAAGTCAGGACAAGACAGCTACCACTATGTGGGTCCTAGGAATGACTGAGATCATCAGGCTTGGCAGTAAGAGCCTTACCTGATGAGCCATCTTTCTGGCCCCTACATTCTATTCTAGTTTTTTGTTTGTTTGTTTGTTTGTTGTTTTTTTTGTCTTTTTGAGACAGCGTCTCCCTGTAGCCCCAGCTGTCCTGGAACTCGCTATGTAGACCAGGCTGGCCTTGAACTCACAGAGATCCGCCTGCCTCTGCCTCCCGAGTGCTGGGACTAAAGGTGTACGCCACTACGCCTGGCTCTATTCTAGTTTTTAAAACTTTGATTTACACATAATTTCTATGGGCGTGTGTCTACCGGTCAAAGAACAGCATGCCTGAAATGAATTGTGATTCTAGCCAACTGGTAAGTCAAGGCTGACCTTATTAGAAGATGTTTACTTCCTAAACTCAAATACTTTAAATGTCTAACAAGTTTCCCCATGCTGGACTGTTGTTTGACTTTTTCTCTAGTCCGTCATACTTGGCTTTCTCTGCTCGTTGGTTTGACTGAGGTGGGTCCCCTGTCTCTGTGGTGGTTTGTGTAATGCTCCTAGGTTTCAATCTCTGCTGTGTCCATTGTCCTCTCAGCTTTCCTATCATTAAGATAGAGGTGATGTACAGCCTGCCCTGTTTTTCTGTAAAAGCACCTAACAGCCAATCTGGTCAGGTGTGGTGATACACAGCTGTAACCCCAGCACATGGGAGGCAGGAGGATTGTGAGTTCAGGGCCACCTAGGCTGCTTAGCAAGAACCTGTCTCAAAAAAGGAAATGAATGTATTTCTAGTGGTAGCTGATGGTATCTGAAATGGACCCATTTCTTCCAACTGCAGCTAGAGGGGAAAGCAGGTACTCCTTCTCCCACTCCTTCCCATCTTCCTCCCCCTTCTCCCCTCTCCACTCAGTCTGAGACTGGGTCTCTTGCAGCCCAGTTTGACCTAGAACTGGATTTGTAAGGGATACTGACTTTGACCTTGAACTCCTTATCCTCCTGCTATGGTCCCTAGTATTGGAATTACAGTCCTGCCCTGACCACCTTTGATAACGCCTCTGATGAAGCTCACCAGTACATGATAATCTCTATAACTAGCTTATTTGTTTAGAAGACCCCGTGTTTGCCACTTTTTTTTTTTTTTAATAATCATGAAGGTAATTGGCTATTGGCTATGTGAGTGTTCTCTGCCTATGAAAATGTTCACTTTTTTTTTTTTTTTTTTTTGGTCTTTTTTAGACAGGGTCTCCCTGTAGCTCCAGCTGTCCTGGAACTCAACTATATAGACCAGGCTGGCCTTGAACTTATAGAGATCCACCTGCCTCTGCCTCTGCTGGGATTAAAGGTGTGTGCCTTTAATGTTCAGCTTTGTATTAAAGTCAAATTATCTCCAGTGAGATGGTTAAGAAAGAAAAAAAAAAAACTTTTCAGTCTTTGAGGAACATAGTAATTAGAAAAAGTTCAGTA